ACCTGTAGTTTGTATCACAGCCATAGTTACCTTGAGACAAAGAACAAGACACAGGAGCTCAATATATTGAGTGTGAATTTTTTAATGAACACCTAGAAACCATGSTTCAAAGAATGAGAGGAAAAAAGGTCAGAATTCAGGTAAATATATCACAGAATTGCAGAGACTTGAATCAGAATTTGATCAGTTTGATTACATATCAATTTTTACCATTTAATTTTCCAATGCTTTTGAAGTAGAAGAACAGAGAKGAGGAAATGGGGTGGCTGAACTGCTTGACTTCCTTTGCCTTTTTAAGGACCAGTGATGATCCTCTAAAACACAGGAGTCATGACAACAAATAACGCAGAGTGAACAAAAATTAAAAGAAACAGAAAATGCATAAAGTGGTATTTTTATCTACTTTTTTTATCTTGGCCTCAGTAGCCAAGGTTAATATCCAAAACCACAACAGTATCAATGTTTATTCTACCGCATGTGTGCAGGTTCTCAGTGGGATTGAGCAATTTTCCTCACAGCAGCCAGTMTGGGGCTGTGTTWYGGAYTTGTGCTGGRAAGGGTGTTGATAACACAGGGATGTTTTATTGCTGAGCAGCACTCACACAGAGCCAAGGCCATTTCTGTTCCCCATCCCATCAATGCAGGTTGGAGGTGCAAAGGAGCTGGGAGGGGACACGGACAGGACAGAGGGATGTCCCACACCATATGGCCTCGTGCTCAGCATATAAAGCTGGGGGAGGAAGGAGGAGGATGTTCAGAGTGATGGCACTTGCCTTCCCAAGACACCGTTACAGGGGGTGGAGCCCAGCTCTCCTGGAKATGRCTRAACACCTTCCTGCTCATACAATGTCGTGAATTAATTTTTCATTTGCTTTGCTTATTGTGTGCAGCTCTTGCTTTACCTATTAAACTCTTCTTCACTTTCACCCTCCTTATTCTATCCCCCATCCCAGTCCTGGAGAAGTGAACRAGGGACTGTGTGGGCCTGAGCTGTCATGACAAGAAGATTGTTTGAATAGTACATAAGAGAAGGTTACCCACTCATGTATCAATTAAGAGTATTTGAAGCTAAAAATTTAGGGAAGAACAGTTAGATAATAGTAAACTTGGTTATAAGTTTACAGGTGTGGCCATTTAAAGGGATACTGAGAGGAGTAAACATTTCCTGCAGCTAACAAAGAAGGAGCAGCATCCAAGTACTGGGGCTCGAACATTTTGTACCTATGGCAGCACAGGACAAAGAAATTGGCTAGTAAGCTACAAATCTTGGCTAGTGTTTCACTTCAATATAGAACCCGTGAAGGAAAGTAATATAAAATACAACGTTTCAGTGCGCCCCAACTAATGGAAAAAGAGCACACCCCAACAGGACAGAACTGCTGACAGGGCATCCAGTTCTGAGCCCTCAAAAGGCAGTGAAGCAAGACACAGCAGATACTTTCAGTGAATCTGGTTGCTCTTCACACTCTCTTAAGTGATTTCATGTGGGCACAGACGTACATAAGCCTACCCATCTTCGTGCTTAAATGAAAAGCACTCTRGCATTCTCTTCAACCTGCTCCAGGAGCCTCCTTCATACAAAATCCATGAAAAGCAATTCCCTATGGCACGGGGAGAGCACTCGAGGCTGATGAGTGTGACCTTTCCCAGCTCTGTAAGTGCCCGTACGGAGCTCTCGGATCTCTGCATCTCCTCACGCACACGGCTGCCCCGGTGAGCTCCTCATTGACCGACTCTTTAGCACACACGGGATGTGCCTCTGGGCTCTCCAGTCCAGCTCTCCCCCTCCCCTTGCTGACAGCTACAGACCTGGGAAGATGTAAATATGCCCCAGGAAAACTGTACCAGCCAGGGTAAAATGTTGGAAATTATGGAAAGAAATAGCTTCAAGCATTTAATTCTGCGTCCATTCCAGAAACAGCGCCTGGAATTCCAGCAGCCTTCCAACAGGGCACAGCAGATGATTGCCACATTACAAACAGCTACAGCCCCTCCTAGTTTGCAGTGAATGAGCTTTGACTGTACCTTTGTTATCCGCCAGAGCAAAGAAAGTGTGAGTTACCACAGCCAAGATGATGAACAAGTCACTATCTTGTCTCAGCCACAGAAAAATAAAGTGGGGTAAAGTCAGAAACTGGGCATGTTTAAGTAAGTCTTCATTGATAGCCCTCTCAGATCTACATATACTATATATTCCTTTTTTTTTTTTTTTTTTTTCTATTTCACCTTCAGGAAATGTTTTGAAGTCCTCCCTGAGAAAATCACCACTGGCTTCTGTGACAGTTTTCCAGGAATCAGAACTTGACCAATCAAAGGATCATGTTGTTACCTTACAGGCCACATCTTTAAAACAGAAAATATGGTATTGTCTGGCCAATAGTCAGTCCAGAAGAAATATTTATTTAAAAGTAATTCCTGAGGATACAAGAAGTATTATTTTTTTCTTCCAGCGGAAAACTGTGGCATAATAGRAGCTGACTGTAGCTCATATTGGCATTATCGAGGCTCATGCTACACATTAGACATGGTCCATGAAACACTCTAACCTCAAGGCAAAGTAATTTCTAATATGAATTGCTCACGCAAAGGCAGTTCAGAATTGTGAAAAATAAGTCTCTCCAACCTCAATTTTCATCTTCACTTTGTCAAATGTTATTAAAGCATTAATGTCATGGTTCAAAAACTACTGCTTACCTAAGAATATTTACCTTCCTCTGCCATCTCTTTACAAATATTTAAATCTCAAAATTTAAATATCTTTATTTTGACTCCAGAAGGAAGAGTATAAAGTTACTAATTATCCAGTYAAGGAAGTTCTGCCTTTAAAAGTGCTAAATTGTGGGCAAATTTACCAGAAGTTATCACAAATAATACGAACAATTCAAACTTTATCTGCAAAAATTCGTGTGTGTACCCCAGCTTACTGGATTTTTAATACATTAGATAACCTATTTATAGATAACCTATTTATACGATGATATTAGAAAACACTTAGAACCTTCAGATGAAGGCAACTTGTAATAAACAGGGACCAAATCAAATTAACATTCAAATGATGGGCACTAGGAAATTTTGGATATAACCCTGCATAGACATACTTGAGGTTTAATTAGATCAAACTTCTTGCAGAAACAGGCAAGGAAAACCTTACAAGTGCCCTCTATAACCTCAACTGTTCCTCTTAATGTCAACAACCAGCACTGCATTCAGAATTGCTGAAAATTCCCCCAATTACAAGACTTTCCCACAGTACAAGAGTTTATAGAAATGAACTGCTTTGTTCTAACTTATCAATCTAGGAGTACATGCAGAATACAAAGGATACACAGGCTTCAAAGACATCTACTTTGGACAGCTCAAGATAATACAAGAAATAAAACATCACCTCAAAATTTTATCCTTTATTTGCCAAGAGTAATGAAAATGTTTAAAATCAGATATATCTGGTGACTTTTTTTTTGKTTTTTTGTTACTGTACATGTTGCCCAGTGAGTTTGTGGACTTGCCATCCTTGAGGAGTTGGTCCTGGGCAAGCTGGTGTACCTAACTCTTGACTGAGCAGAGGGAATGAGCTCCATAATCTCCCAAAGAGATTTCATTAAATGCATTATCAAGTATACAGTCTAAAAATATTTTTCCCTTTCCTTTACTTGAATACTAAAATAGAATTATAAGCATGATAAGAAATTCTGACCTTGTAACGACCTATTTAACATAAACATTTTGAAATTATACAAAAAGATTAAAAAATTCAAGTCAGGCAACATTTCTGCACTCCTGTTTTAAAGAGCAGTATCACAAGAACAGAGAGTGAGCTGCATTAACATCCTTGCAAAAAACTAGTTTTTGGTCCTAGGAGTGGAAGCACAAAACAGAGCCACAGAATCATTTAGACTGGAAACAACATTTCAGATCACAGAGTGCAACCATTAACGCAGAACTGCCAARTCCACCACTAAAYCACMYCCCTATCTGTCACATATACACACCTTTTAAATACTTCCAGGTATGTTGAGTCTGCCACTTCCTTGGGCAGCCTACTCCAACATTGACTCTCTTTCAGCACAAAAGGTGTTTCCTAATATACAGTCTAACCTCCCCTGGCGTGACTTGAGGTCACTCCTTGCCCTGCTGCTTGCTACCTGGGAGAAGAGGTTGCCCCCACCTCACTACAACCTACTTTCTGAGGCTGTTCTTCTCCAGCCTAAAGAACCCCAAATCCCTCAGGTGCTCCTCACAGGAGTTGTGCTCCAGACCCTTTCCCAGCTCTGTTGCCTTTCTCTGGACACTCTCCAGCCTCTCAGTGTCTTTCTTGCAGGGACTGGCCCAAAACTGAATGCAGGACTTGAGGTGTGGCCTCACCCATGCTGAGTACAGAAGGACAATCACYGCCCTGCTCCTGCTGGGCACGMTATTGCTGATCCAGGCCAGGATGCCATTGGCCTTTTTGGGCCCCTGAGCACACTACTGTTCTCTACAAAGGCTGAATGCCATATCTTATAGCTATATTGGGCAAAATCAGCATTAAAAAGTCAAAGTTATTTATATAAATATTAAATYTGTCTCATTTTGACTGTGTCCACAAACCCGTTTTTATGAACACTGAGTGTAATGAGCCAATACTTGCTTTTCAGAGGGAGGTTTTTATAAGAYTGTCTGAGAACTCAACCCTTAACAGAAAGTGACAAGGAGAAAAGAATAGAAATTATCTGAATATCCCATCTGGGACTCAGTGCTTATCACAGATATAAACTCCCAACCACAGAGAAGAGATAGGAAATACTTGACATKGATGTTTGCAATTTATTCTCATTGTAGTCCTAAAAATACCTTCTAAAAATCCTGAGAAGCAAACCAATGTTAAGAAAAACACGAACACAATACAGTTTCACTGATATGATTAGTAGCAATATGCTGCATTCATAGAGCAGTTTCAGACATCAGGGTGCTACATTCTGTCTCCTTTTCAAGCACACAATGCATTGGATTGCTTTACTTACTAGTAGCAGTAGCAGGACAATATCAGGATTATCACAGGCACAGGCTACGTGCATTGATGTCCAAAAATCCTCATCTTGATGATTTACATTTACTCCTCTGTCGATTAGAATTTCTGCAGCAAATGCATTATCATAGCGAGCACACTAGGAGAAAAAAGMGCAGATTAAGGATGCTGTTTTCCTCAGTGTACAAATCAATTTATTACACACAATTTAAATTAGGCAGATGATGCATTATAGTTAAGGTGCTGTGTTTGCAGGGAACAATAGCTGAGGAATTTACAGAAATAATTGTGTGGAGATCACCAGTTCTATGTGYATGATTCACAGAATCCCCTATTTCCTGTATGAAATCTGCTGAATCTACAATAAAGATAAGGCTTTTTTTCTGTTCAGTATTGTCACTCCAAATCAGTGCACGGGCATCAGCGAATGACAATCACATCATAACTGGTGGCATCTATGTACACCCACACATCCATGAATTTCTGCYTTTCATGCAGTTCATGGCAATAATATACTCATCTGCATACCCACTTCTATTTCCAATCCACTACATATACTGATTCCTGTTCCAGTCTCTATGCCAGATAAATACTCTGCACACAAATGGTGTTTTGGTGGGATGAGTGATACCATGCGTGTGTGTGTGTGTGTGTGTGTGTATTTCCAAACCTTGGTGACAGTCACAAATTTTAGTAGAGAACAAGAAAATGGCCTAGACATTGTTTTGACCTTACTCCTCTGTCACGTTTGTGATTTTTTATGCAGAAGGTTATGGATAAAAAGACAGTAACACCTTAAAAGACTATCAGGGCACCTCTGGCCTTACATACAATCTCAGCAACTCTTTAGAGAAGGATCCTCTCTCTCTATCCCCACTGAGGAGAGGTCATGGGGAGACTTATTTCAATCTSGCATGGAAGCCAGGACACTAAAGGAAGGGGGAAAGAAGGAAAAGTGTGTAACTGGATTCAAGTATGAGGTCAAGACATAGCTGAGATCTTCAGCTGAATGCAGCAGCTGCATGTACTCCTGCAATCATAAATATAGATAACCCAGAAGATGAAAATTAAATTCTATCAGATAAAAAGCAGTCCTGCCTTAAATGATTTCCAAGTATATTGACTATTAAATTATAGAACAGAAATTGGGTTCTGATCTATTTCCTTTAGCTTGTAACTTACCTGGCAGCTCTAGAAACAGTTTTGTTTAGTTGCATCAGTATCATTCATTGAATCAGTACAACTTAACTTGAGCTACTCTATGTTGAAATTTTAACAAATCAGAGATAAGACATTTTATACTATAGATCAACATAATCAACCAATCACATTTTCAAGGCACTGTTAAGCCAAAAAAAAAAAAAAAATCTAGAGATGACAGGTATCACTGAGCAATTTGGTGTATTAATAATAGATATAAAGCCTTTTGTGATCTGCTGCAGCTTAGATCTATTGCTGCTCCTTAATTCTTGCTTAACGGATTTTGTGAAACAACTGGACAAGCTGAGTTAAAGCTACAGAATAAAACTGCTACACACATACTTTGTTATCAGGCAGCGGTGGGTGATTGCCTGTGTGAATTGACATGACACCATTTGCTTCCCACAGAATGGGCAGCTCAGGCGAGTACTCGCCTTTTATTGTACTTCTCTCATGAAACCTAAAGAGAGTTCAGTGGATACCTTTGAAGCTCCCAGAGCTTCCCTAGATTCAACCATATTGGAATACTGTCTACAGAGATACAGACAGAATCTTTACAAAGTGTCACATTTAATTTTTTTTAGAATTATACCCAATTTTGGAAGCAAACAGATATAGAAAAGGAAAAAGGAATTACATAATGGAACAGATTTTAAGAAAAACATCAAGATAAATGTATTTTCCATTCATTCTGGCATAAAAACATCTAGCCTACAACTGGAAAGAATGAACACTAAGCTCCCCTTTAGACAAAGCAGCTTATATAGAATCAGAGTGGTAAAACTAACACTTAGAGTGGATCTGAGTGGGCTTTAAGAATGTAACACAGATGTGTGCTGAATTACTAGTTTCAATTCTTGCTGGAAAATAATCTTGGCTTATCTTTTTCCCTGTATCATGGTTCTCCTCTCCTGTCTATATTGCTTCCAAATCAGGGTCAAATTCCAATTTCATTGAATTCAGGTTTGCCTGTATCTCCGCAGGATGAGCATTTTCCTGTAAATGAATTATGAGTAACTCTTACTAAACAGGCAGTAGGTTACACACAGCTTACTACTGCAAATTTCTTACTACAGAAAGCTTTCCTTCCTTTGGAAGCATATGTGTGCTTGTGAAGCAGCAGGCACCAGTTGAAAGATACTGWCTGTGACAAGGAATTGGGGCATGATGCACATCAAGAAACCTAAAAAGGCACAGTTCTGCTGAAGATTTTATCTGCAGTTAAAAAGTGTGCATCAGCTAAACTAGACAAAACAACCTTAAATCCCTGAAGATTATTTTTTCTTTCTTTCATTTTACAATGCCTGAGACTTATGACAAATGACCCACGCTGAAGATACAGATTGTCTCCYAGGGCCTTTGACACAGGGGAAAATCTGGGATGCCTCTGTTTTGGGAATCCCAAAGAGAACATTTTACTTGGATTGCCTTTTTAAAGAGTGATTGAGCACCTTTACAGCAGACAAATCTTTGGAGGAGATTAAAGAGAATTAAAATTTTCTCTCTTCCAAATCAGTACTGAACTTTCCCCTTACCTTGGCCTCTGTTTCCTAAAGTCCTTGGCAAATAGCATGGCCATGAAAGATGGAAAACACAGATTAATTACATAATGGAAATGCTGTATCTTGCAAGAGCATGGGCAGAGGTGTGCTGGAATCCATTAATATTACAGGGACTCTTTCTCACAAATAAATTACTGTATTTTGTATACATGCTATGAGAAATTTAACCCAACTGCTCTAAAATGAAACTGCATTCAGCAGACTGAATGCAAAAGTCTGCTTCAAAAGTCTGCCAGCAGACTTTTCATTACTTTGCTCAGTCGCATTTCCTTTACCCACACTGCAACAAAGTTGGATTCAAACGTCTTTAAATGGTTTCACATTGAATAGACRGCCTGTCTGCAACTGAAGCATCACAGACCAAAGAAAAGGATCATCAAATTTAGGAATTAATTATGAATTTTGCTACCACCGTCAGCAATGCCAAAATACTCCTATGGTACTTTATTTCTGTCTGCCTGTCAGTCTYTCCTCCACATGCCCTTATCTCTTGTTTTCATTTTGGTTATTATATARAAATTGTTTTTCTTTTATCTTCCTGTTCCTTAATCTGAATTGCTATGCAAATAATGATAAACTAAATTGTGCCAAATATTGTAGATATTGTGCCAAATATCCACATGTAGGAAACTGGTGCAAGAAAATATGAACAAAAATAAAAGGAAAAATGCTAATTCATGARTTTTTCATATAGGACCTGTGAATCTCTGAACCATATAATTTTGTATTTAGGATCGAGCAATATTTTCTTTGTTCTTTCTTATTGCACAGATAATTTATAAAGAAAACATTTAATTCTCCTGTATTAACTACTACTCCTGTGACATGATCCATTCTTTCGTAAGCAATCTGAAAATGACCCTTTATTTAAAAAGCATAGCTGGATTCAATCACAGCCATTATGAAACTCAGTGTAGATAAATTATTGCTAAACCTTTCTTTTTTGTTAATATGCCAAATCTGCCATTCACTGTCCCACTATATTCATCCATGGTCACTAACACTAATCCTGAATCACTCTTACCAGATGGAGCAAGGAGCCTCCTGAGGAAAGCACCATATGAGGGTCAGCACCATCCTTCAACAGCCGGAGCACTGAAATATCAAAGAAAAGAGGAGCAAGAGTTAACAACTAAATATACCAGCAGTATACCTAACTCTGCACTGTTAATAGGCTGATTCTTCATCACCTTCATTAGGGCATTTAATACTATACGAAAACCCCTTATATAACAGTGCAAAACTCTCATKTCTGCATTTGCCATCTCACCTGTTTTAATAGCTAAGCCTGTAAAGCAAAAGACCTTTGATAATGAACACTAAATACGAACAGCATCAAGGACTCTTCAAGTGTACAGATGAGCGCGTCAGTTTTGTACATTGGAGAGGGGAGGGGAGGGGAGAGCTGGAGGAAAAGAGCAGTGTCAAGGTCACAATAACCTGACCAGTTCATTTGGGAGCAAAATCATAGCTAACTGGTGTTATTTCACTTTTCAAAGTACCCATGCGACATATTGGATTTTTCAGTAAATACTTGAAATTAGAATTCATAACTGATATCACTTGAAATTAATCATCATACCAAAGCTAAATGATCTGCACTCAATTTAACCTTTCCAGTGCATTGTCAGATCACTGATGCAGCATAATCTTTAAAACAGTATTTGGAGCCAAACTCCACTYCCAGTTACATGTATCAAACCCCTCTGAAATGAAAACAGGCTGGTAAGTGCAAGCAAAACCACAACCCTTCATATTGGTGYTTGCTCAGCTGTGAAAATTCAGCACTTTTCCCCCATGGTCTTTATTGCCTTTRTAACCTTTTCACTCTGAATCAAAGCAATGACTAACTCATGGAAACTGTTCATTCCTTGAACAGCAGCAATGCCTGACAGTACCAGGGGACTCCACACCAGCACTGCAACCCTGTCCTCATTAAACTGGTGTGAGGAACCCTTTTAAAAGGCCTCTTTCCATGAGAAGAACTGCCAGTGATGTTTCCTGAATAGGAGTGCAGGTGGGTTGTGTCTCCATAATCTGGAAATCTTGAGCTTAATTCCTTGTTAAGATCCTGCATGAACTTGTGCRAAAAACTGCAAAGAAATTTTAAGTTKTGACTACACCAGAAATGGGTTCCACTGAGGAGTCAGTCCTATGGGAGAACAGAGATTTGTCTCAAGGCTCTTCCATGAATCTGTCAAGAGACTCATGAACGCCACCTCCTTCCTACCTGTGCATTTTCTCTGTTTTCCTTCTCTCAAKAATATATTGAAACTCCATTTTCACAGTACATTTAAACTTCTTACAGAATGCAGACACAACCTTTTTGAAAGGGGTCAGTTCTCTTTTCAAATATTGTCTATTTATAGCAGTAATGTTTTCTGAACGTGAATTATTTTTGACCAGGTGCCCTAGAAAAATTTCTCCTAAGAAAGAATATTTAAATAGTCGCAAGCCTATAAAATTCGAGTAAAACACTTGGTATCATTATTACTAAACACATCACACATCAAAATCCACTGGTATAATGGACAAATATTTATAATAGATAGACAAATCCATTTAATGTTTTCCTCTTTTTTAAACTTTGAAGATCAAAGATGAATCAAAAGTACTGCATAAATTCTTATTTTATGAATAGTTCCATGATACCTTTCTTCTCACCAAAGCTTTTACCTCATTTAATTTACRCAACTGTAAATACAGGCAGAACTGTATATGTTCTGCCAAATGCCACTTTGCARTTTAATCATTATTAGAAGTCCCTGTTGCCCACAGCACATCCACCAAAAGTGGATGAATTTGAAAAWAATTCAAATATTAGGTAATATAGAATAAAAGAAACCTGCTAAGCAAGTTAAAAAGCACAGAACCAGAGTTCTGGGAAAGTACAGAAATATTCACAAAATTTCATAGTTTTGGGAGAAATGGATGAACAAAAAAAAGCAAAGCATTCCTTTCTACTCTCACAGATCCACAAGTCTCATAGTAACACTTGTCCTCATCCAGACAGAGACCATCAAAAACAGAGTTTCAGAATTAAAAACTAAGTTTCTTCCTTTTTTTAATCCCTAAATTTCTGACCACATATGGAGATGCTCTCTCGACCTCCGGTTTAAAGTGAGTAAAGACTTATTATAAATCCTCCCTCCTTAAACAGGTGAGCAACTACGTCCTCCTCAAGAGTTAATATTTCCAATGTTGCTATTCTATGCCATTTCTGTAGTAGGGCAGAAAATACTGTTTCCATATCACAGAAGATTTCTTAAGGCTCTGAAAATAATTTCATTCTCCCAATCCCATCAGGGTTTTACCTGAAGAAATAAATACTCCAAAGTGCTCCCTTTCTTCCATCCCCTGTTTTCCATGGGGGAAAAATGCACGTATCACATGGTGGCAGAGCATGTACAGAGCATGTACATGTGGGTTGGTGGCAGAAGTCTCATATTGAGTAGGACTGATAATTCACATCACACAGACTACCAGGGCAAAATATGCAAACTCTCCTTTCAAGTGGGAAAAAGTCTGTGTCCTGAATCAGAATTATGTGCTACATTCCTCTGCACATAAAAACAAGTTCAAAAAAAAAAACCCAACAAAAAAAAACCCAAAAATAAACCACCAAACTTTCCTTGAATTTATCCCCCCTGCAAAACAGTAAAAAGAAGAAAATCAAGAAAATAAGAAAATCAAGAAGATCACAGAAACAAAATCCCCTTTCCTACTATGCAACTTGCTCAGGTAATTTACCTAAGACTTGACTGCTCAGTAGGAAAATGTTCACCTTATATTTAAATTTTTCTTTTGATAGAACTACTATGTAGAAGCAGTTACATAGTAACTACCAGCCACTGCTAGTAATTTGGGACTGATTGTCCTAATGAGGRCAGAAAGTTACACAAAACTATTCAAGAAATGCTATATATCTCTTAATTAAATTTAAAGCAAGCTTTCACAAGACTCTTACTTAAAACTTGTTCTACTTGCAATCTTTCATGTAAGGAAAATTTACAGAAAAGATGGGACTGAAAATGGACTTAAAGGCAAGGAGCTGACATTTACCTGAAAGAAAAGAAAAACAGAGTAAAAAAGTTTAGCAAACTCTGAAGCCTTCTTGTGTGTATATAAACAGGTCCATCTGTTCTCTGATATCTTTTAGATTTGACACACAGAATTACTGAATACTTAGAACAGAATTTCATACCTAATTTCATATCTAATAAAGGTATTTTAGAAAGCATTGGATGCATTTAAGTCTCATCAGAAAAGAAAGATAATGATCAACAGAACTTTTTTACGTTTGCTTGATGTTATAATTTTAACCAAATCATTACAGAGAGCTGAATACCTTTTTACTTTCCATTGATTATATTGACTAGATCATGGCTTTTTATACAGCCTTAAAATGCAGAACAGTCATTACTGCTGTGCCTGTTAGCAGGCACAGGTCTTGTACTAACTCTGCCTGTGGAACTAGGGCTGTAAGCCTTACTTTTTCGGTGCTTGTCTTGGCTTGCTTTAAGCTTTGTTTTAATTGTTATAGCAACTGGCTGATGACAAGGTGACAATTACCTAACACATTTTAGTTTTGTAGGACTGTGGTGTGTAATGTATTAGGAATTTTGATATACATGGCAGAACCTGGCACTTACACTGTGCTGTGCTGAATATAATCTATCTACACCAACACAGAGAGCTRCCCATGACCTTATGTATGCTGCAGACAAAAGGAGTACTGATCTGAAATCACAGCAGAGCCTGGAAGGTGAATTCAGTGGGCTCAGGGCTATCACTAACTCACCAGGAATCTGCTACTGATGGTAACACAAACTTAGGAGCTGGGCAGTGTTGCATTCACAGCAAACTCAGTTTTAGTAGCAACAGAACAGACAAAAATAAAGGCGCCTAACAAATGTAAAACCCAACAGTTGGCCATCTACGGTGCTGTATATAGAGTACCAATGTATGCTCCTATTAGCTGTTCCTCGGGGGAATAGCAGACAGCAAGTGTTAACTTTGTTCCTGTTAACATCTATTTTTGTTCTCTTTAGTTTAGCAGGAACAACTCCAGCTGGAAGCCTTTACTTGTTCATTGTGTGCATAAGGAAAACTTACTGCTGCAGTAGCTAAAACGATGCTGATTCTGGGATGGTTATCACATTCTCCTCCTATCCCAAGTTGCAGGCTTTTGTCACTTGGCACATGGCAAAGACTAGTTTTCCAGCTAGATCAAGAATCTGGCAATGTGGCACTGGGTAACAGGTATGAATAGGCAGAATGGTGTAGCCACCACTTTCCACCAACAGCTGAAGTAATTTGGGCATAAACTGACCATGAAATTGAATCACAACAAAAGTGATACTGAAAGATGTGTAGTAGCATCCTTACACTTCCACCAGTTAAGTGTCATATTTTGCCCATTAGTTTCTTCATAGTCAGATATTTGCTCCACCACTGGCATCTTAAACTCTGTATAGATATATCACTTAGGATTCTTTCCACCTTCATCCCTCTTTAATTGTCTTTTCTCATTCCTCAGCAGCCACTCCACTTTTCAGCTTGTACTAATGGTGTTTATGAGGAACCTGCTACATAACTCAGCTACATCTGAGAACAGTCAAATGCTAGTCTCTGGTAAGTTCTTAATCAGAAAACCAAATTAAATAATGCAAGATCTCATAAACCTTTGGTTAATGTAGTCTTAGAAAAGATATTTACCTCATGCCTTTGCTATGACAAGTTTAAAATTAAATTTTAAAATCCAAGTACGACTGTTGGTAATTTTATAAATCTTTTAAGATGTCTTGTTTACCTAACAAAGACATGTACTGCAGCTGTTATCACATTATCACCAGTGCAACAGCCCATGCTTTCCTTTAGAGCAAGCTCGTGGTTATTCAGAGCAGTCATGCCCTTAATGGGCTTTGCAAACAACTGCTTTGTAATCCTACTGCTTTCTACATAAAGTATTTCCAGAGTTCATTGGCATCATCTGTCAGACTTGTTCAGATCTCCTCATTTTCAAGAGAACTCTTGGAAATAAAGTCCCATCTTGGCTGCACAAAGATTAAAGGCAGCAAACCATAAACAAAATA